GAAAATGTTTCGAAAGAAAAATTGATGGTTTTACTTTCTTTACAAAACGATAATAATAATAGCTTGTGATAAAGCTGACTAAAGTAATACCACAGTTACATAAACCAAAGGGAATATAAAGGAAAAACTTCACAATATCTTGTCGATTCCGTCGATTTTATTTAAACAAAAGAGTCATTTTCCAATAACATCTGTTTCAAAATATATTATCAGTAAAACAAGTGACATTTATTTAGTGTGTTATATGATTTGGTATTTACTTCAAGTGACTTCATCAATACGATACTACTTGTAGTTGAATATAAATATTTGTAAATTGCGACGGTTATGTTGAATCGTAGATTCTTATGTTTATAACCAATAAATGATAACATTTAATTTTAAATGTAGATTTTATGTTATTTCGCAAAATAGAACAGATCACTTTTATATGATAAATAAATAAATCTTAGGGAAAAACAAACGTCAGTCAAGATTCGAGCGGATAGTTATACAAATATTTGATCATTTTCTGTAACTAGATGATAATTTATACCCACCTTCTTACACACAAATTAATCCAATGATATGTCATACAGAATCATCTTGACCAAAATAACATCACATTGACATGTTCAGCCGCATTATGATCTTGATTTTACTAGATATGGTTTGTCCTAATGATTCACACATTTTTGACGAAGTTTCTTGCAAATCTGAGGAAAATATGTTGAATGAATCAAATAGTAATAAAAAACCTGATGCAGTTTTGATAGATGCTGATTTTTCCAATGACCCATTACTCTCCAATGACATTCACAATTAATTTGAGGAAAATATTTAAGAAGAATTAAATCCTAATGTCATATCAAATATTATTTGTCCCCATAATGGATTTGTTTCTTGTGAGAAACTTGTTCAATGCGAAGCACGAGTAATAAATGAGCTCGATTTTGATTACAGTTCGGATGATTTCATATCAACTGTCGTTTATCTTTATCGTGAAGTCACTTCTATGAAATATTGTAGTCAATATGAGAAGTATGTTTTAAATGAATTCACATCATTTATAACTTGGGGATATGAACATCCAACATTATTTCGTGGGGAAGGATTATGTTTGTAGGTCGTTGGTTCAAATTCTAGGTATCAATGGTTTCAGTACACAACCGGCATGGTGATCGTATACAAATCCAGGACCCAAATAGTACAGAGTTTACATCCACCATACAATCGGACAGGCACATGATGAACCTAAGGAGAAGAGGTACGATTGATCATCATTAAAGCTGTGGCGGATGTAGTGTTTGTATGAACTAATGATTTCTTTGTACATGATGATCGCTCGATTTCGAATTCCAAATGCAATACGTTCTTTCGTGTTCATATGATTTTTCTTGGTTAAAATGCGTTATTTCTAAGAATTCTTAAGTAGTACAGTAGTTCAAATACTCCTAATCATCACAGCTTGCTCCATAAGAGCAGCTGAAAGAAGTGGCTAATTTAGATCATTTATCTTTCAATCTCGGAATGATCATGGGATGTGTAGAAAACAGTAATTGTAGTTTACGTGCATTAAAAGTTCTTTAGATTGCTATGTACAACTTTAATAGTGGCATTTTGCTGGGTACATCGCCTCTAAATTGTGAACGCATATACAGAGGCTTTTTGCTCACAGTTAGGCATTCCTCATGTTCTCTTTTCTTGGATAGTTGTTCACTCATAAATTTCTTTGGATATATATTTTGTTTCAGGTTAGTACGCAATGCTTTTGTTTCCTCTTTAACTGTATCTCGAATGTATATGGTCTTGGTTCTATAACGAAGTGTGTTAATCAGGTTCCTTCTATAATGTAGAAAAACAAAACCAAGGAAAGTTTGTCCTTAAGTATTTATGTTTTTGATTTATTATTTATATTACAAATAATCCCTCATTTACATGCTATAATTCTAAATGATGTACTTTGCCTCAAACCTAGACATTTTTTGAAATATTAATTTGGATATATAATTGTAAAACCTGATGAGAAATTATAGAAAAGAATATTTTTCGTTCATATTCTTTATTATTCTACTATTTTTCCCACTTTTATTCTATTGTAGCAATCTTTCTATTGCAGAAATATGGAAATATGGAGTGATATTGCATGCAGATGATGGTGTATGACACTTATAGACACATCATTGTTAAGCTCATTATATTAATACGTGAGATCGATTTTATGTGAACATGTAAGCAAATAAGACGATTTTATCAGACAGAAAGCATGTAATTTAAATGATTTTAAAGCTTACAGAAGTCTGTGTTCATATAAAGTTAAATTAGCACCAATGTTCTTCGACAATATTTAAGTGACAGATGTTGATTCACAGACATGATAAACACAGTAACACGTATTTCGCAGAAGTTAGTTGTACGTTTCAGGAAAATATTGAATCAGCCAATTATTCTGCCTTATTATCTAAATAAATTACTAACCAGATGGCTGTAACCATCATTCGTAGCTGTGAAACTTTCTATCAATTTACTTGGCTCCTAAGCTAATAAAGAATACAATTACGTGGATTTCGCTGGACTGTAGCACACTGTTTCCAAAAAATGACTGAAAACAAAGTCTGTCCGTTACATCAAAATAATGAGTTAGATGAAATAATTTACCAGTAGCAAACTACTAAAGATTATTTCCTATATATTTTGCACTTTCCTCCTACCTAAACTTCCATATCTAGTAATTCTTAGTGCCAATCAATTTTCAGGATTTAATAGAATATCAAAAATATTTTTATCTATATGAGCAGTTTTTAGAAACTAACAGATAACGTGCGAGCTTTATTTATACAAATATGAATGATGATTAGCGAATAATCAAACTTTATCCTGTATTTAAGGTCCCGTAATTTAATAAGATAAACAAACGAAACGTAGCCCGATTTGTAGTAAAAAAATGCTGTTAAATATGAGTTCATTTGCAATAATTAGTCTGTGTTTAAACATCTTTGAATTTAAAACGAATTCTAAGCTACGAATATACTGATCTCTGAATGTCATTCCGTCCAATCACGTTCTAAGAGTTTTTACAGTTGAAATATTCCTAATTTGTCGTATTAAATCCTTGTTTAGAATTCTATCAGTGACTGAAGATGTTTTTAGAAAAAAATTATGTAGTTATAAAATGTCTACTTGTCCACTAAATAAATTTATTCTCTCTGTTTCTAATATAGACTTATGTTTCAAATAGTAAGGCATCATTATTGTCAATTCATGGGTTTTGCAAACAAACCCATAAGACTTATAATAATAAATATCATTGGTTAAAAAAATAGCCCACAGGAAAAATACTTGATGTATAAATATAATTTACCACAAAATTATATCAGTTTGCATTTAAGAAAACAAATGGCATTTTTAATTATAAACTCAAATAAACTTTTGTTTCAATAGTTAAGATCTTGAGTCAGTTGAAGCTAGACCATCATAGAGAACCTGGAAGCACTGGATGGCTGTTTCGTCCTATTGTGGGACTTCTCAACAGTGCGTATCCACGACCCTGCCCCGCGGGATTCGAGCCCGGGACCTATCAGTCTCTAGTGCGAGCGCTTAACCACTAGACAACTGAGCCGGTTTTAATGTCTAACTTCAAGTAATCCACGAAGTTGAGCGACACATGTGGTCGAGCTTCAATCGACTCATGATCCTAACTATTAAAATTACTCCAATCTCCACAAGACCCCTTCCGATACTAAATTTTTGTTTCGTGTTTAAGTGTAATAATTTAACAAAAGTTAGTCAATCCTTTAAAGTGAATTACTTCTAAAGTCCATGTTTATTCACTTAATATTTAACTGATTCGAATAATAAGAATCAAGCTAATACAACATTTTTGTTAATAACATCGAACTATGAGGACTAATTCCTGGTAATCAGACGGTTAATTTATATGTAACAACAAATGAATTTAAAGAGCCGGAATTCATTCCACGAATAACTACTTTTTAACAAAAAATCTTGATGATATATAACACCTTCAAAACCATCTAACCTACCTTTTTACTTTAATCTTTTTGAAAGTAATATTATTTTTGAAAATTACCTGAAATACAGATTACAGGTGAAATGGTTAATTAATTAATTTAAGCATATGTTTTCTATTTAATAGTTGAATTCATGAGTCAATTGAAGTTAGACCACTACGGAAACATGGAAGCAATAGAAGGTCGTTTCGTCCTATTATTAAATTACTAAAAACTCCACAAAACCCAATTCTGATAATATTTTTTGTTCACACAGTGGAGCTCGCTTATAATTGAGTATAAAAGTAATGAGTAAAAATCACATGTATTTTTAATGGTTAACAAGTTTACTTGATATTTAATGTACTCAAAATCACATGACTGCCATGAAACATATTTGTCCGTGTGTGTGTGTGTGTGTGGAGATCAGTGAGCATATATGAAATAAGTTATTTAGAAAATGCAATCGATTACAACCCCCCCTGTTATTTACATTTTTTCTTAATATTCCGAACTCTTTATTTAAGTGACTTTTATTGTATAAATCCTTTTATAATATACTTATTTGCCCATATTGTCCAGAAGCAGACCATTGAAAAGAATTTTATAGTATAAAAATTCTTAATCTATTTTTGTTAAAAATTTTTTTTGAAATTGCCCAATAAGTGGGGAAGAAATGAAAGGAAACTACCACTTATCTATATTTATTAGGCACGTACATAAATCTATGTGTGAATGTACGTGTGAAATGTGTGTATGTATGTGTGTGAAATGTGTACTTACTTAAGTATGAGTTTGTATGTGTTTACGTTTTTCCTTTAAGCTATTTTGAGTTATAACAATTCCATGCAAAGTATACTAGTTAGAGAATAAATGTTCATTACATAACCAAATCGTGCAACACTAAAATTGTAAAATTTACTTCAGACAATACCGTTTCTGCAGTTACTACTTTGAAATTTCTTATTCCTAACAATACTATTATTATTGTGTTCAAACTTCAACACAATAATGGATGACTGCAATTCAGATATAATTGAACAAGCTCGTCAATTGTTTATGCATTGTGATACAGATGATTGTGGCTATTTAACACGTCAAGCATTAGATCGTCTTAGTGATCGTTTACCATTAACGATTTCACAATTGGATTTTGTATTCAATTTATTAGATAAAGATAAAAATGGGCAATTGACTTTGGATGAATTCATTCAAGGTTTCGGTAAGTGATTATTTTGTAATATAGTAAATTCTTATCTTGTAATGATTCCAACAATTAATAATGATGATTAGCTAAACTTTGTTGTTAACTGTCTGATAGCCAAGCCAAGGGATTTAAGAATCCGTTGTACTATAACAGTTGTTGAATTGATAAAGGCACGTTTTTAGAAGCTTTGATCGGTATAATTATTTTGTTTGTTGTAATCATGTGGTGAATTCGGCTTTCTCAATAGACCGCACAATTAAAAATACTGATATTTAATTATTCTGGTTCCAAATAATCACTTGTAAAATTAAATCACTTTAGCAGTGAATTGCTAGCTATTAGCACCATCTACTACTCGGTAATGATTATGCCAGACGTGTGATTACTACAGAAAGTGAAAAGATATTAGAAAAATCTTTAACCGATATTCGTTTTAGTCATATTTCACCAACCATCATAAGTTAATTATAGGTAAACAAAGGTAAGACTTATATTTCCTTAAATAGAGAAAAAGTACTCATAGTTGGGCCATCATAACGCAAATTAGGGATTGATTATATTTCATTCCTTGCGTATTTGATGAATTTGCAGTCTGAACGTCTTTGAAAATGAGTTATTCATTCTTGCAAAAAAGGCCCGACCAAGAGTTCTCGACAGAAACATGAAACTAAAACCTTCAAGAGAACCTATCATCTATGTACCCGAAAAATACTTACATCAATGTTCACTTCAAAGGTGACACAAGTATGTTGTTTTGTGGATTAACGTTCACAACAAGGCCCAGCGTTTTTTCACTAGAGGGGTTATAGATGTGGACTTTCAAATAGTCTGTTTAAAGGGAGAAATGGCTGTCAAGAGCTTTCTAGTTATCAAAAGCACTCAAACTGAGATTATAGGGTGATAAGTACCATTGACAAACTAAACTGATCTATGTATAACATCCGTAACACAGAAGCTCACTTTCATTAATTGGGTTATCTCGTATTCACATTCAGATAAATATTTCTAGAAAATCTGATAGACGTACGTGATTCTTCAGTCCAGTCTCGATTTTGGCAGTTTAGTCAACAAAACATGGGTCTTTTAGAAGTGCGATATGAATATTTTAGATGAGACTATGACTTATATTCGCATGACGTATATCTATGACATATAAAAATAGGAATAATTAGATCGCCACCCTGTCCATCAACTTTCTTTTCACTATCTTGCCGATGATAATAATAACAGTATTCATAATAGACTATCTTTTTTATCCCTTTATTAAAAAATATGATTGCTTCTTTCTTTGAAATAGTTCTTTCTAGCTAAAATGACCTAGAGTCTATAACAAATAAGTAACTAATGTTAAACAAATAATAATAACCATGACCTCGAGTGTATTTTACTACTTGGCGTAAGATACAATCTACCGACATAATAAACAAAGTGTTGGACGAGCACTGAACTCAGAAAATTATTATTGAATCAATGTTACTTTATCACCAAGAACTATAAGATTGACCGGTGTATATTGGAAGTAATATGAATTATCTGAAGAATAAAAGTGTGTTGTTGATAGAGCTAGGGATACATAGAAAATAATCCGAAATATAATAATACTTAGTTATTCCGTCGAAAGTACTGAATATTATATTCTGTTCTTTAACTGTTATGTTGTGTTTAACTTAGGTATGGCGAGTATGATTGGCAAAAGTATATTAAGCTGAATATAATAAGGTCGACACTTTTGGTCTTTTATAGAATGATTCGTTTCAGATATAACGAAATGAATAGTTTCAAATATCCATAATATTGTTAACAGTAATTGTTATAAATAAACATTATCTCGTAGTGATATCAAATCAATAGTGTCATGTTTGGAGGGATTTTGTGATACTATGTACTGGATGTTACAAAGATTAACAACATTGTATTACTGAATAGTAGGGTTAAATGTGAAGATTTAGGTAACTTTTAAGAATTTGATAGGATCATACGTTATGATTCAAAAGATTCCCTACACAATGATGTCACAATAAATTCTTTTGGTGGATCCAAATGAAACTTGAATTCATATTCGAGCATTTTTCATAACAGACGTTAGAATTGATTGATCTACACTGAAATCTACAAAACCATTTGAAATATACGATTTTATCTAATCTCAATAAATTTAATCAGAGGAATTCATGAAATATATGATACATATATGAAAGAACTTTTAATCACAGAAGATTTATTACCGGTTTTGAATTTATCCGCTGTAGAGTATATAAAACAAACAATCTCGAAATGAGATGTTTCACAGGATTGTAAATTATAATCTTAATATAGTCAATAAATGAATTGTAGTTTATTATTCGAATGCATAAAAGACATGTTTAAATTATTATCGTCTTATTTCACAAAATAATGTAGAACGTTCTAATAATAAGTCCTATCAATAAAAAGACCATTAATGGTGTAAAACTTATTTAGTAACATTCAAATTCGAGTACAGTGAACAAAAATTTTCAATGTCTAATAACAAGAATAACACTAACAATGAATGGATGAAATCGATTAAAGTGACGGTCGTGCAATATTGTGAATTGGTTGAAGTTAGACTTTAATGCTTTTGGATGCCAGCTAACTGGTCTAGAGGTTAAGCGTTCACGCGTGAGATGGAAGGTCATGGATTGGAATTCTACGTGCTAGATCGTCGATGCGCACCGCTGACAAGTTCCATACTGGGGCGGAACGGCCTTCTTGTGCTTTCAGGTTTTGAGTGGTAGTCTAACATTGATCCATTCATGATCTCAATCTAAACTCAACAATCTACACAACTGTGCACCGATAAAACAGTTTCAAGTGCTGATATTTTTTTGATTAGATAAAACAAATAACTTTTATCTAAACTAAATTGATAGTGTTACCCTGGTAACTAGTCATTTTCCGTTCTTTTGAAATCCTAGACTTGTACATACACGGCGCATATTTATTACCTCTTATTTCTTATTATCTTTATCATCGATTATTTTAGCTATTTACTGTATTTGTATAAATAACATTTCATAGGACAATAAAAATTCTTAACAAATATTAACGCTTCTTATTTAATACCAGAACAGTCATCTTTAGAGCATAACGTTGTTCTGTATGATCTATTTTCAATATCTGAATTATCTTTAAATACTTTTAACGTGTTGTTTCTATGGCAAGATATATTATTAATCAATAATTCTAAAAACAGTAAACAAAGTAATGATTTCCGAGGGATCAGTTTTCGAGCAGTTGAGTTGTTGTATTATCAAGTAATAATTCAATTCAGATCCATTCATTTTATATCTCATTCATTCGTAAGAATATTTCTGATAATTAAAATAACCCATAGTGTCAGTGAATAAGAAAAAGAGGATTCAGCGAAGAAAATCTTCTTTTCGACGAAATCATTTACTTAAGCTGTACATTCGTATATATAGTTATATGGAAAATGTCTGTCTATAGAAGGATAGAAAGGAATGTATCGCAAGAAATGGCTTCGACAATAAATAACAAATGAGGTTAACGTACTAATCAAGGGGTAAGGAAGAACAAAATTTATGGGTCCGATAATAGTCCATTTGACAGATATGAAGGAAAACGACAAAACAACAAAGGTAATAATAATAAACTGAATGATAATCAAAACTTGTAAAAGGTAATAATAATAAATGATTAGAGTTTAAAGTGCAAAATAGTAATTTAAAAATATCGATAATAATAAAAATGCAGAAAAAAAAAAACAAAAAAAACCTAGAAACATACCCATTGAGCGAATAAGGGCCAGGGAAGGATGAGAGGTCGGACAAATCGTTTCTACACGCAAAGTTCAGGCTTTAGTTTGTGGATTGCCAATACCTCTGCGGTGCATAAAATATTGATTCGAATCCCCTTCGATCCAGTTCCTTTGACTGTAAACTATCTTAAACGAAGAGTCTTTTGAATAGATTTTCATTCATTTTTATCTTTATTTATTCAATATGATATTAACAGATAATTCCCATTTAAATATTAAAATTAAAACACGAAGTTCAGCGAAGGGGTCTCTTTTCAACGAATTCATTATCAAGCTGTACAATCGTATATATATGAAAATTTATATTCTCATTGTTTTATTCGTATATACTCATCATATCACCTTATTTATTTTTTACACCTGTATGGTCATCTTATTATATTCATCAAATCCATTGTTACTGTTATTATCCGTATTACATAATCTAGTATTATAACCTTTTAATTAACTGTCTTCACATCTCCTCACGGAATTAGTACTTTTAAAAAAACAAAACATTTTCATATATATACGATTGTACAGCTTGATAATAAATTCGTTGAAAAGAGATCCCTTCGCTGAAATTCGTGTTTTAATATGATATTAGTAAAAATGATTGAAGTTTTTTTCTTGAAATGATTTCTGAACTACATTTTTATTTCAATGGTTGAGATAATGAGTCAATTGAAGCTAGACCACAATCGAAAACCTGAATGCACTGGACGGTCGTTTCGTTTTATTCTGCGACTCCTCACCAGTGCATATCCACGATCACACCTCGTGAGATTCACACCCACAACATATCGGTCTCACCAGCGAACGCTCAAACTCCAGACCACTCAGTCGGCATCCAACACTGTTAATGTCTAACTTCAACTAATCCACGAAATTGAGAGACACATCCACCATTGTCATCAGTGAGTTATTATCTCACAACAGAACTGGTTGAACTCCACTGGTCATTGCTTCTCACTAGAATTGCAGGAAATACATTTTGAAGCCAGTCACTAATGAGCATACGTTGATTAATATCAGAAGTGGGTTTTGTGGATATTGTATTAATTTCAATGGCTGAGATCATGAGTCAATTGAAGCTAGACCACCGTGGAAAACTCATGGTCTCAACTATTGAAATTTCTACAATATCCACAAAACTCGTTTTGATAAAATTTTATTATTAATGAAATAAATTCAATACAATTTCTTTTGGTATTATTTCATTCCAGTGAAATAATATTTACAAATACAAAAAATGTAACACAATTTTATTAGAATATTTATAAACATAAAAATTATTTAACCACCTAGTCACTGATAACTTAAATAGTTTAACTGTTAAATCTATTACTGATCAAGTAAACCAGTTTTGAATATACGCATATGAACCATTAAGAGGTTTCTTTTATTGTAATATTGATAAAAATGTTGACCTTTTGGACATTTTCGATGGTCTCTTTAATCTTTTAGTAAATTATTCTTTTTTGCGTCCTTTTTTTCATTAATTAATGTAATTATCATGATAACCTAGAATCGTAGGTATTCTTTTCTTTTCTTGGTTACGAATTAAAAAGTGCAGATATGCTTAACTTTCTTCTTATTTAGTTTACATAATTTTCGTATATATTAAATTGAAGCACCATAAACATCTAGATTGTATATTTTGTATTTCAGTAGAAATTTCTGTATTTTCTGAAAGTACGTATAGTCTTTACCAGATAGATATTGTATATTTAACTGAAAAATCCTTAATATATGGTCTAAACTTTGATTAAAATGGAACTTTTGATGATTACACCTTGAATGATGTTAAATTAATAATAGTCTCAAAATGCTTCATACTTTATTTTATACTCTTATTTGTCTATCATAGTTTATTAAACCAGTTTTTTAAACAATAATAATTTCCATGTATCTAAATAAATGGTTGCTCTGGTTGTCAGAAAGGGCATCGACCTCGTGACTTCCGAAGGAACTCGGCTTTCATCATGAGACGTAATAACTCTTCTAAATGAAGACCTTCTGACTACCAGGGCAGAGTTTAAAAGGTTTGAATATTTTTTCTGGTTAGCGTTTTTTTAGCGAGCTAGTTTTCTACGGGATGGGGTCGCTAACCCCATTCCCAACCCTCCTCCTTTATCCGGACTTAGGACCGGCAGTAACCCCCGGAGGGACTCCATGTGGAGTTAAACAATATTAAACTTGAATAGAAATCAGAATTTTATTAAGTTAAAAATGAATTTCCGTTTTATTTCAATTAGAATGAATTATGTTATTAGTCTAATAGTATAACCCGTGTAAGATGATATAAACTTTACAATTCTATCTCGTTAAATACCATGAGTGTTTAGTTATAAAACTCTGTTTAAAAACTTTTTAATGCTTTTAAGCTATCGATGATATTTTAGGCATTTGTCATAAAAATTTCGCTTAAAATTCTTTCGTACAAATTATATTGATGTTCACTGAATTCGTTGTGAATACATTACCCAAAGTAAGGAAACTTGTCATTTTGCGCTTACAATAGTAAATACGTGTCATTGATGCTCTGTGAGTTGAAGTGAGATACTATACCAAATTCACTTTATTTAGGGTTATTTCCTGTTAATATGAAATAAAACAGCTTTCTTAATAAGTTTATGAACTTAAATTTGTTCGTTACAGATTTTCTGTACTGAATGTTCAGATCTCAAGTTAAGGTAAAACAAATATGTTGAATCTCTTTGATTATCAAAGATTTATCAGCTTGTATAAATTGATACTCACTAAAATCTTCAAATATTCAGTGCTTATAGACTGATTTATACTGATATTAACGAAAGAACTAGGTGATGTTCACAAATATTTATTCATATGCTAAGGATGAATGCTATAAAGGGTTTCTTTACCTAAGTCAAATATAGATTCAAAACTTTGAAAGGTCATTCAATAGCCATTTATTTTAAGAGTGAACTTCTTGCCATCACATGGAATTTTTATAAAAAAGTATTTGTTATTGGTGTTAATTCTACTTAGTAAACTATATTATATTGAACTAGAAAATATGCATAACATTTAAAGTATAGAATTCTGAAAATGGACATTAATTGATCATTATTTTAACCCTTCTTCAATTAACAGGATTATGAAATGAAATTTATTTACATATTATACCAAGTTTTTACAGAATTAACGATTTTAATAAATTAAGAGGTTGTTTAATGAAAGAAATCCTAGTTCTAATTGAAGTAATTTTATGTATATACATCATTTATAAAAAATTTTTGGCTGATTAGGTGTTGCCAAATTCAAATTCATTAAGATGTTCAAGTACACATACCTTGAAATATATTTACCTTTAGATAATACGTCATACTTTCCATTATCATCCTTGATTTAAACAAACCGGTTTTTATACTATTCAACAGGATGACAGTAATTCAATTTCCCATTCAAATTTGACAATCCAGTATGAATTAAATGAAATTGAAGTTATTCGTTTCTTTTCATGTAAAAACATTTTGAATTTTCACTTTCTATTAGTCTTATCATCATTTGTTTATTATTACTTGATTATAGGTCATTTCCTAGTTGACAAAGCAGCAAACAATTTATTATTGGATGAAGAAATCGACGAACAATACAATCAAATTATATCATCATTAGATCCAGAAAATGTATTAAAAAGGTAAAAAAAGAATTTGTTAAAGCTACTAGAATAAATACATTTTACTTTACATATCTATACATTTGCAAATATATACTTGTGTAATAGTTAACAATACAAATCAAAAAGTGTGCTACTATGCATCGAATGCAGATGTCATTTCGAAAGACATAACATATATAGTTGCTTTGCCCTAGTACTGAACTTTTCATCACTATTCATTCACAACTATACACATACTATGTAACATGGACGATAGCCTCATATCACTGAATTGGAATTTAGTGGACTGTAGTTTGAAATTAAATTAATTTCTAATATGATATGATCTTTAGTCAACATCATCGAAGTATAACAGTTATGACACCTCGAAAAAATTTTACAATATACATTTTAAAACTTGTAACCAGTTGATTATTATCGAAGATATCATTTATATTGAGAGTGATTTCCATCGTGAAGTGATATCAATCCAAGAACTATCGAAAATTTCAGTAGTAAATAAGAGTTTTCTCTAACGCTTTTTTATCTGAATACAAATCATGACGAACACCACTTGTGTCGATACGATTGTTGAAAACATATCTGAATGTTTCTTCAAGATACATTACAGCACACCGGGGCGAGACTATAATTTATTGATGAACCAATCAGATTTACGATAACATATCTTCAGTTTTGACGCAAATTTAATTTATCTATTTGGCTAAATAAAGTTTTGGCATTAAAGATGATGTTAGTTCGTGGTGAGAACCCTAGATCTAACTATTAACCCTAACTGCCAACTGTAAATATTAATCCTAATTCCTTACATTAGTTTATAAGCCTGAATTGGCGGTAGTATGTACAGTGACATTCTCATGATCTTTTTAACGTTGCTCAAAGGTCATCCATAAATTATAGTCGCACCGGATACAAAAATATTATTCATATACCTTTTAGTATCTTATGGATACAAATATTCGGTTTAGAATTACACAATGATAAAACTATATGAATAAAAACTCTCTGTTTGAAAAATGAAGAATCATGGATTTCTCATGCAAAATATACTGATTATTTTTAAACAACAATGATCATAATCAACAAACATTTACTAATGACTAGTAAAACTAATTCTAGATAGGGATGTCATTCGAACTAAATCGATTTTATTACTTTATATCATATATGAAATAAATACACAGTGAAATACAAAACTATCAAGTGTAATTATTCATTTAATTAAAATGTAAACTGTTACCTACATACTTTTTGTTCCAATTAAACTAAAGGAATCATTATCAAGTTGACTTTTTATAATAAAATTTAATTGAACAGATTGTTTTACTCACCTTTATCTACTTTTTCTTATTTTATGTTCAATTTTATTGTTTTTTTCGGAATTAGCTATGAACAAGTAAAACATATATGGAAATACATGAAATTGGCTAATTCACATTTATTACCAGAATTTGAAGATATGTTAAGAGCTATAATGAAAGAGGTTAATGGTGCTAGAGTAGAATATGAAAATATGGAACGTATGATACAAAAGTAAGTTCGATTTCTAATCATTTGTTCATCATTTAATAAATGGAATCTACCCCTCCCATTAAGACAATAAATAAGATAGATTTATTCAACCGAAAAGAGAACACTTCACTCAACTGATTTATTTTGTCTGAAAGGCTAATTCCTTTTTAGTGTGTAAGAAATTTAAAGTAGAACGTTTTTTTATTTAGACAGAATCGTCTTAACTGTAAAATTCAATCTGATTGATTTATAGTTGAAAACATCGGTTTAAAATCATATCATTACCCAAACTTTGATCATCAAAATGATAAAGTACCTGATGAAAGATCATTAAATGAATTAATATATTGACAGTCGTTCAATGAGATGAATAAAGCTCCGGGTTACGGGTGAAGTATTAAAATGTCAACAGCAACTAATAAAGAGGTATATAGGTCCAGAGAAAAAACAAATAATAAATGTATTTAATTTCTTGCAGATTGCTTATAATCATGTTAGTTAAAATCTACAATCGCTGATTTTTAATTACTTTGAGAAAAATTTAATTATGAAGTAAACAATAAAAAAATCCAATAAATTCTTTATATAATCACACAGCTCTATACATTAAATACAGCAAAAAATATTTAGCACTTTTGCTCTCTAGTTTATTGAGATTAATCATCTACTAATAGTATCCACAAGGTATGTCACGAAATTCCCTTTTTAGTCAATGAGTTTTATTCTGTACAACTGTATAATCAAATGTATCTGCTTTAATCGTATAAAGATCCCCGTCATATTAAAAGACTAGTATTTGAACGAAGAATATTCTTTTCGATAGATTCTCTTCAGGTTCTACAATTCATATATCCAAATTAATAATCCGAAAAATGGCCAGGTTAAGGGCAAAGTACATTATTTAAAGCATGTGAATTCAGGATTGTGATAAACAAAATACAATAAAATGTTAATATGACTCATAGAATTTTAACTTGAATCTGCGTATACGTTAAATGAAAATTTTAAGATCCATGATCAGAATAAATATGGGTCAACTAGGGTGAGAGAGAAATAATAGTGCAATTACAATTCGATCAAATAAGTAAGGCGTAATACGGAGGGAGGAATGCAAAGTGAATGAATCATGTATAGGGAGATTAATGATGTTTAGCCAATAATACGAATAATAATAATATTAATAATAATAATAATAATAAGAGTAATAATACGAATAATACAAAGATTTATGAATAAAGATAACAGGGACAATTACAATTGACTACGAAAGGTCATAGTCAAATTAGGTTATTCAGTAGTTAAGATTACAATTGATTGATTGGCCTTGATGTTGGCCAGAGGAGGAGGAGGAGTGGTTGAATATATTTCTTCTGTACGCATAGCTCCGGTTTCTTCATCCGGATGGCTACTGCTTCAGCCGTTTGAAGGACTATAACTCTGACCACTTTGGACAAAAAATTACTGACCTTATAAATAATTGAAAAAGATTGGTTTATACTGGCACTATGACGATGTGCTGAGAACTGTACCAAAATATAATATTGAATAAAGCCATTAATAATAATAATAATGACCGGTTTGTACTAAATGGGCCAATATTGAGCTGTTCACCTTCTTCATCAAACCTTTGTTTAGCCACGCTGGGAGGTGTTCACGAGCACGAAAATGTAAATTCCTAGAACTTCGACCAATATAACTCGCTCCACAGGAGCAGTTAAACTGATAAATACAAAATGAGGTGGTCATTCTAGGTAATTCATCTTTTAGCTTCGGTGTAACCATTGGGCGCGTAGAAAATACTAATCACAGTTCTCCGGCGTTAAAAGACTTTTGTATTGTCCTACGTAATCTCTGAGTTAGTATTTCACTAGCCGCATCCCCTCTGAATTGTAGACGCATGAACAGGGATTTCTTCTTCACTGTTTGTATTTCACCTATTTTCGCCTTCGTGACCATATATTTAATTATAAAATTTCTAGAGTAGCAGTTCTCCCTGAGAGTACTATGCAAGGTGTTAAGCTCTTGTTCAACTATATCAGCAGAACATATAGTGCGTATACGGCAACTAAGGGTTTTGATCAAGTTTCGTTTGTACTGTATAGGTACAAAGCTCAGAAAATTCGTATACTGCCCAGTCCATGTACTTTTTCTGTTTAAGTTCCTTTTTAACGATCCATCCGCTCTTTTAGTCAAGAGAACGTCCAAAAATGCTATTCGGCCATCACTCTCCTCTTCAGATGTAAACTGAATGGCTGGATGCACTTCATTAAATCGCCTAAGAATTTGAATTGCGGCGACGTATTATCTTTACAGTGGATGAACGTTTCATCCATGTATCTACAGTAAAATGTGAAGTTTTGAATAATCTTTTTTAGTGGACCGTTTCCTCGTTTGGCTAGAAAAATACCAGCTAGTATAGAGCCTAGTGGTGAACCCATTGCAACACCATCTGTTTCTTTATATATTTCATCGTTGAACTTGAAATTCACATTCATGGTGCATTTGAGAGATAACTCTTTCACGATATTGGTAGGAGCAGTAGTTTCAATTTCATTTTCAATCAGCTGTTCACCTATATATTCTACAGTCTTTATGAATGGGACGTTTGTGAATAACGATGTTACATCCAATGATATCATCTTTGATTTCAACGTATTTGCATTTTTGATTTTATCAACAAACTGGAACACATCCTTAACACTATATTTTGCAAGCTTTTCATGTAGAGGTTTCAATACAGTTACCAACCATTTAGCTATAATATGGTAAGGAGAGTTATACATATCTAGAATAGGTCTTAATGGGATCCCCGGTTTGTGTACCTTTGACACTCCATACAATCTCGGCAGATAGATTCCCAATGGTTTAATCATTTCATATAAACCCGATGAGATAGCCTGTTGGTCCCTGAGCTTCTTCAAAGATCTGGTAAGCTCATTCTCTATCTTATTATTCAAATCTCTCTGGTCAGTTATTTTTTGAAACTTTAATTTGTCACTTAAGATTGTACTCATTTCTTGAATATAATCACTTTTATTAAGAAGAACAACACCTGAACCTTTGTCAGGTTTTGTAATCAGTAAAGTCTCATTCTTAAGAAGTAGGTTGATAGCTTCCTTGTGCTTCTTCGTAAGAATGCTTTTGTAACTAAATTTATTGTTTTTATATTGGTAACAGCAGTCTACAAGAGTTGATTAAGAATGTTCTAATTGATGATCAGAATTCACAACTAGATCACGTGTCTGACTATAAAGATTCTCGAATTGTATATCTGTATCGATGTGGTTACAGTTATTACGAGTATCACAAAATTTTAGACCTAGGGATAATACCTCTAGTTTAGTAAAAATGTTCGTAATTTTAATAGTACTACTGTTTTGTATAGTTTGCTTCTTGAATGTCTCCTAGTTTTTTTTCACATAGTTCATACTTCTTCCTCTTCTTCTTCAGATAATTAAATAACAGTTCGTAGTGTGATCAATTTTAGACCAGTTTACTTCTATTTTCTCTCAATTATAAAACATTTTTTTATGAAAATAAAGGTAAACAAGTAAAGACAAAGAACCTTTCGTCCTCTTGTTGAAATTGTTAGAAATACTTCAACTAGACGATTAGTTCGACATTTATCTTATTTGTTAGAAAGTTGATGAAGTAATCAAAATGGATATTATAGATATTCATTGGCCTATAAAATTATGTAAAGGAACAAACAATCATTCTCTATTAGGAATCCTTATGTATATCGTTTTATACGTGTTGAATAGTATTCGTGATGCCATTATTAATATTACCATTATTATTATAGGGATATTTGGCATTTAGAAAACATTCGGCTTATATTAACAATATTTTACATATTATTAGTTACTAGTTGACAATTATACAGATCGAATATTATTTACAGAAATCTTAATGCATTAGAAGATTATTGATATTGAACTAAAAATGAATTAGTTGTCAACGATCTTTGTCTATCACTTTATGTAATTTCTCTATTAATTGAGTAATAACCTGCTAAACATTACAATTATTTGTTCAATTAACACTCCACTCGTGAAAAACATGACTATACGCTTTTTACAACATTCTCTGATACAATTATAGGTCATAATATACCATAAATTAAAAATTATAACACTTGTTTATTAGGACAGGTTTATAATTAATTTACAACACATTGATAACAATAAAGATAAAACAACAGTTAATGAATGAGCTGGGAGCAAACAAACTTCCGATATTTATTATTCTCATTGATTTCTCATATCTTAACACTATCTGAACAATATCATCCTGTCATAATTCATGGAATTACTAACCACGCTAAACAAAGGTAAATAGATTAACTGTCAGCTACATTTCTTATTTAAAAGATAACAAGATTACCGATATTCGTAAGTGATCCATGCATCACAAACATGATTTTTTAATAACAGAACTTAAATTGATTGAACGGATTGAACACTGATCATTTAGAGAACTAGGCCTAATAGATGAATTGCTGAATAATATCAGATTGATATCATAGAAATATTTGACTTTAAATCCAAATTCCCATCATCAAATTAGAAAAAAAAGTCAAAACACCGCTAAATGACGTCCATCTTTTTAAATTTAACCAAGACCAGACAAATAAACCAAGGTACATCCAAGAAATACTTTAGTCTATTATCAGATTGGAAAAGTTCTGAATATTTTACATAGCTCCTTGTTAGGTATAAAACTTTAATATTTTATCTCATCTAAAACTCCTGAAAATATAAATAATTACTGATAATTTATACTGTTTGAATACAATCACTGTTAGATGCAGTTGGACTTACGGAAATTTCTCAGCTATTTCTTCATTATTTTGTCCGACGGCTGGTAATAAGTAATTGAATTCGGAGACAGATTTGAAACTGCACAGCTATATGTCTTAGTTAAGAATATTTCACCGATTACTTAACTTGAAACCTAATCAAAGTCATAAATAGCTTACAACAAAAATAATATGTTTGAACCAATGCTACTAGACCACA